ATGGGAGAATATAATACATGGAGAGAAGACAAAAGATGTAATCACAAATAATGCTGAAGTAGTTTCTTTGCTCAAACCAGGAACTGACACAGTAATGTGCCAAAGTCAGATTGGAGTAAAGTTACAGTTCAATAAAGAAACTGTAAGTGAGACACCACAAAGGCTGCCAGTAAGTCGAATACCTAAAACATTTCAGGGAGCAAGTTATACAAGTTCTCAGGAGTCCCAAAAGTACAGAACAGCCCGTGCATCATCAAATATTAAATCATTTAAAATTCCAGTTAAAATAGAACCCACATGCACATTTACTAAAGAAAAGTCACTAATTCCTGCTAAAAAGGGATCTTCAAAGGACTCTGCAAAGAAAGGACTCACTGAGAGTACTTCTAAGAAGGCACATGTATTATGCTCCCCAAAAACAAACACTCGCAGACTTCATCAAGGTAGGGGAAATCTACATAATTATATTTGTGTGGAAATGTTACAGGAAACAGAAAGTCAAGTAACTTTGCAGAAATCTCAAAGTGTAGGACAACAGCAACACTCAAATTCAGGGCAATTACAAAGTATTTCAGATGATAAACATTCACAGTGTTTTCCACAGAATAAACAATCACACTCACCTTTGAGTAAAGAATTGCTGCAGCATTCATCAGGTACTAGAAAACATACTATACATAACACATCTGACACAAGAATACCTATTCATTTGTATTCTTTAAAGGAATCACAGAAATCATCTAGCAAGACAGTATTAGAGTGTTTTCCTGTGAAGGCTTTCAGTAGCCTACCAAGGAAGGGGTCATCACATGGAAAACTACCAGTTTCAGAAGAGATACTGGGAACATCATAGACAGAACTAGTACCAGAAATTTCATATAAGTTACATAACATTTGCTTTACAAATGAAGAAACACTACAAGTTTATAAAAGACATGGACCTACAACAGGAATCAATGTATGCAAATGAAATATAATATAGATTACATACAGAGTTTAATAAAATTGCCCCAGAAATAAAAACTACAAAGCAGTATCTTATAGATGAGTTTACTGCAGTTTTGTTAGCAAGGATAACAGTATTAAGTTTCATTTAACAGAAAACAGAAAGCTGCAGACAAGTTCAGGACTCAACAAATGAAAGTTTGCAACTCAATCTCAGATAGAAAAATTACAAATACTGTGCTAGAAGAAAATATCTAAAGATAAAAAAATAAAAAAGTATTCAGATACAAATTCAAAGAATGATTAAAAAAGTTTTACACATGATTTCATGCAAGATGATAAAAAAAAACATGAAAAACATCAACAAGAAGCAACATCATGGAAACCAGGGTGACATACTTTTTACAGCTATTTAAACCCAAGGATATACTAATACAAGTTTATAATAATTAAAAACTTTATATTTGTGGGAAACTTCTATAACTCTATAACAAAATATGCATGATTGAGCTTCAGTGATATGTGAAACATTTTACTTTTACTGAGAATTATACAAGATTGTTGAAGAATGGGTGGAATGTAACTACAATACCCTATCTAATGTATTTATTGAACTTGGTCCATTTCGTCTTATTACAAGTGACCTATATTTTATGTTACACACGTGCTCACACACAAAACGTAATGATACATTAGATTACAAGATGTGTAGTGTCCAACTACTACGAATTATTTAAATGTGATACATGAACCTACACCTGCAAAGATATGAGAACTGAAGAAAATGATGAGAAATATAATAAGTTAATTTGTGATGAAATACAGTAGAAGACTACTACAAAAGCACCATTAAATATGCTCAGGAAATTCAAAGAAGTTTCTTGTGCTGAGAGTACAGAAGAGAGAGAGCATTCATTATAAGGTTAGATGATGTTTATACAAATCTTAAACATTGATTTCTGTTGAATGATCCTTGGACTTGAAGCTACAGATCAAAGATTATTATTCTGTTTTGTATTTTGTCTTGATTTCTACCATTTGATTTATATATTGCTTTATTACCATAGTAATTATGCAAGAGAATGTGCAGTGGTTAAAATGTTTGATTAAACTGCCATGTGATCTAATGATGCCATGACATGTTATCCGTCAACATGTGTAATACCGAATATGTCTGTTATTTTAAGTGGCTGTGAAACCCTCTATGGAAAGCAGGGTTTTGGGGAGCAGTAAACACAAGTGATACTTCATGAAGGTTACTAAGCAACCTAACACTGGTTTCACATAGCAGCTTAACGCACAGATTTTATATAGCAGCTTAACGCACGGATTTCACATAGCTTAACGCACGGGTTTCATATAGCAACTTAACGTATGGGTTTCACCTTGCAGCTTAATGCATGGGTTTTGCATAGCAGCTTAACACATGGGTTTCACATAGCAACTTAACACACTCATTTCAATTAGCACCTTAACCCCTTCACTGTCAGAAACCTTGAAATTAACCCTTAAATGGTCCAAACGTATATATACGTTCACCTGCGCAGTGCCCCAAATATTTTGAGAAAAAAAAAAATTATAGGAAAAAAGAGCATGTGGTACCTAGGTGTCCCCAATTTTTTTTCATATGGAGCACACTGAGTGCACACACCCATTCTCTCATGTCTAGGTGACTCAGGCCTATCGTGTCAATGTTGAATGAATGAGAAATGAAACATGTATATGTATACCTCTGGGGCGCTACGCAAGTGAGCGTATATATACGTTTGGACTGTTTAAGGGTTACGTGCTGATAATCTGACATTTTTCAGAAAAAAACAAATTCTTCTGAAATGGTAAAGAATCTTCTTTGGAGAGTAATAACAGAAAGTGTGATATTTGATGAAAATTGTACAGAATTACAAAGGCATGAAGTTGGCAGTTTGAGCACAACTAATGCACTGAGTACTGTTTTAAGCCAATTCCTTTGCTCCATTTGATCAAATTATTAGCCATTCCATTCTGTTGATTGAACAGAAGAAATCGCCCATTCTTTATCAGAACTATGCTATAAAGTACCCAGAAGTCGGTAATTTGGCCAATTTTACACAAAATTAATAAAATACCATTTTAAAAACCGACTGCATAATCAACACTGTAGACAGTCCAGGCTTGGTACTAAAGTAACATTTTCCTCTCCTATATTACACTTTCCCTCCATTTTGAATTCCTTACACAAATAATAAAATATAACCAGGAATGAATAGTCATGGTTTATGGCATCCCAATAATTGAATCAAACCTAGTAAAAACCCATAAGATAGACCAGAGGATATGCGGAGGGCCTTACCTGTCCTCAGGAAAATAAAAAATAAAATATTTCTGCTTATTTGAGCCTGATTTCAATCTACTTCTAGTAGACTGAAATCAGTAGTGTGTCTTTCTCTCTTATTAAATAATACCAAGAAACAGTCAATAAAACAATAAAAAAATAATCTTAGAAAATACATGCCGTAAGGTCAGAGGTTTGCTTTTCCTAGGCAGTATTTTTTTTTTATACTAAGCACACTCACTGCACAGACAAATTCTCTCATGTCTAGACTAAAATTTACTCTTACTGCTTATGAGGGAGGGGAACTCAAATCGTACATCTACATAGGCAACCCTGGCATCAATAATGTAGATACATATACGAGACAGTGAAAAGGTTAACACACTGGTTTCACATAGCAGCTTAACACACTGGTTTCACATAGCAGCTTAACACACTGATTTCACATAGCAGTTCAACATATGTACTGGTTTCACATAAGGGCTTAACACACTGGTTCCACATAGCAGCTAAACACACTTTCACATAGCAACTGAACACTGTTTTCACATAACAGCTTAACATACAGTTTTCACATAGCAGCTTAACATACTGCTTTCACATAGCTTAACACATTGCTTTCACATAGCTAAACACACTGGTTTTACATAGTGGGTATCTTAAAAGAAGCATTGTTTATGTTGTGTCTTGTGGTATATGCTTCAGCATTAACATATGAATGTGTCTGTATAGGCTTCTTATTCTGCTGGCCCCTCCATGATTTTTTTTTTTTTTTTTGCCTGATTCAGCATTTAGTAATATCACATTTTGTTCTGTATGCTGTTCCTTGACTTTTGTTCCTTGCTTTTATTCTTGACTAATTTACAAATATTTGTTATTACCTATTTCTGTTCTGTGCAGATGTACATTACTCTTGACTGAAGAAGATATATATATATATAATATTTATATATAAAAAATTATTTTGATATACAGTAAAAGGTTTCACACATTGTATAGTAATACTAAGTACTGATACCTCTGAAGACATGCAGTAACTGGTAGAAAAGATGCAACTTTATACTTGATAAAAACATTTAAGTCTCTTATCTTTTTTTTTTTTGCATTATATTGCAGTGTATCATACATAGTATCTGTATAAGGACACTAATTTTAATGAAATGATACTAAAACATCTAATATGTTATAATTCAGTGTTATAAGAGTCTAACAGTAATCCTACATATAATAATTTATATTTTATTATGAGGAGATAAACTGTAGTTCTCATTTATCTTAGTAACAATGTTATATACACTGCAGGTGTGAAGAGGGTCAAATACCTACGTCGCCATCACCACGTCGCAGGTCTAGTGTAGGTGGGCGAGGAGTGAGGCGAGACTCTTTGGAAGGTAGCTATTCTATGCGGCAGCGATCACAATCTCCTGCTAACAGGGATCCTTCTGGCTTCTTACGTTTAGGATCTGCGAGGTAAGTGCACTACTATATATCCAATTCAATTCAAAGTTTATTCTCTATAAGGATTACAATGCTGAGTTTACAGAATTTGGTTATTGTGTGGTTTACATGTAGTAAAATAATAATTACAGAGTGTACCACTAGAACACCTAGCATGGCTAGGCATTTCGGGCAGACTTAGATTAAATCTTGAGTTTAAAATATTACAAAATTATGAGGTAAGTTGGTGTTATGGCTAAGTGACTAAATACTAGTTTGTGAGTTTAGCGATGTGAATGCTTTTGTTTTGGCACTATACATAGTTTCAGTATTGGAGTATCACAGGCCAACTTATGACTAGTTAAGATTCATTATTTTGAGATTGAGATTGATATTTCTGTTTATGGTCAAATGGGTGAGTGAGTGTAAGTGTTAACCACCAGGTGGTATTCGTGTAATTAGTTGACAGGGTGTATCAGGGAGATAAGATGTGATGTTTTCTGATGGTAGTTTTGAAGGTGATGAGTGTGTCTGCAGTTTTAGAATTTTCAGGTAGGGTGTTCCAGATTTTAGGGCCTTTGACATACACTGAATTTTTGTAAAGGTTTAGTCGGACACGGGGAATGTCATAATGTTTTTGTCTGGTGTTGTGCCTGTGGGTTCTGTCACAACTATCAAGAAAGCGTTTTAGGTCAAGGTTAATATTTGAATTTAAGGTCCTGTAGATGTAGATTGCACAGTAGTAAGTGTGGATGTACTGAACAGGGAGTAAGTTTAGATCTATGAAGAGTGGGGGGGTGTGTTGCCAGGGATGGGATTTAGTGATTATTCTTACTGCGGCTTTTTGTTGGGTTATTATTGGCTTTAGGTGTGTTGCTGCAGTTGAACCCCAAGCACAGATAGCATAGGTGAGGTATGGATATATAAGTGAATGGTATAGTGTGAGAAGGGCAGTTTGCGGCACATAGTATCGTATCTTGGAGAGGATCCCAACCGTTTTGGATACTTTTTTGATTATGTGTTGGATATGGGTGCTGAAGTTCAGGTTGTTGTCGAGGTATAGGCCTAGCAATTTGCCCTCATTATGCCTGGCAATTAGTCTTGTCGATCTTAATGTTAATTTGCGCATCTCCTGCTCTGCTACCAAACATAATGTAGTAGGTTTTGTCAGTGTTAAGCGTAAGTTTATTGGCTGTCATCCAAGTCGATAATTTGATCAGCTCCTCATTAACAATGGTGTTGAGGGTGGTAAGATTAGGGTGAGAGATGACATAAGTCGTGTCGTCAGCAAAGAGAATGGGGTTCAGGTGTTGAGATATGTTTGGAAGATCATTGATGTATATGAGGAAGAGCAGGGGACCAAGGACACTTCCCTGCGGAACTCCAGTATCAAGTGGCTGTGTTGTTGATGCTGTGTCTTTAATGGTGCCATACTGATACCTATTAGTAAGGTAAGATTTGAAATATGCAAGCGCATGGCCTCATTACCACCATAATGGTCAAGTTTGTGGGGTAGGATGCCGTGGTCTACTTTGTCAAAAGCTTTTCTTAGGTCAATAAAAATTCCTAGTGGATATTCCTTATTTTCCAATGCTGTGTAAAGCAGATCTAGCATTTTTGTGATTGCATCGTTAGTGCTTTTATTTTTCCTGAATCCAAATTGGCAGGGGTTGAGTATGTTTTGTGCCGTTATAAATGAATATAGTCTCCGGTGCACGAGTTTCTCAAAGATTTTGGATAGCAATGGTAAGTTTGATATTGGCCTATAGTTGTTTAAATCTGTAGGGTCACCACCTTTATGTATTGGTGTAACCCTTGCCGTCTTGAGTAGTTTTGGGAAGGTGCTAGTTTCTAGTGACTTGTTAAAAAGTAATGAGATAACATGCGAGAGGACAGGGGCCGCTCTCTTGTACAATAATGGTGGGACATGAGACAGATCCCCTGAGTTATTTTTAAGTGACTTTATAATCTTGGTGACTTCCGTGGGCTCAGTTGGAGCAAGATAGAAGGAATTTGGGAAATTCCCATCTAGGTAGTCCCCGGCATGGGCATTGGTACGTGGGATTTTATTGGCGAGATTAGATCCTATGGTTGAGAAGAAGTCGTTTATCTTGTTAGCTGTGTCAGTGGGATGCAGTGGTGTTTCATTAGGTTTAGTTAGGACAATATTCTTGTTTTTTTCAGTTTGTGGGTCCCTAGAATCTGAGAGAGTGTTTTCTAGGTCTTTTTTATATCTCCTCTAGTGTCTGTGAATCTACTGGAGTAGTATAGTTGTTTGGCTTTCTTTATTACTTTGGTGAGAGCTGATGAATAGTGTTTAAGAATATCTTTGTGTATTAAGCCCTGTCTATATTGTTTTTCATATTGGTGTTTCTTATCAATGGATTTCAGAATGGTGCTGGTTAGCCATGGGCAACCAAGCCGTTTGTTTGTGATCTGTTTTGTTTTTATAGGACAATGTTTGTTGTATAGTCTAAGTAATTTGTTAAGAAAAATGTCTGTCCAGTCATCAATACCATTGGCCTTGGAGAATTCTGTAGGCCAGTCAACAGTCTCTAGGTCAGCTGTGAACTTCCTTATTGAGGCCTCATCATGGAGTCTAAATGAAACTTTGTTGTATTCAAGTGGTGGTTTACTAATGTTTGTTAAGAGGAAGGTAGGGTAGTGGTGTGTAGTGCTATCTGTGATTATCCCTGATTTAAGGGGGGCTAGTATATTGGTCCATATGTGGTCTATTATGGTTGCACTTGTTTCAATGGCCGATGTGGATACAGTTGTATTATTATTATTATAATCAGGGGAAAGTGCAGAACCCATAAAGGTTAAACAGTGCACGGGGAATGGGAGGCAATGTGGTTTAATCCAAGAGAGGGAAGGATAGATCCACTTCCTTTGATCAAGAGCCCCTTTCAGGGAACATGACTCCTCTGCTGAGAGGAAAATACAAATATAGCTAATTTGTATATTTTATTTCATGTTTTACATGGTGTTATGTCCAGGCAACCCACAACTAATACAAACTCTTCATAAAGCAACAGCTCAAATGACAATGTAACATACAGCATTACATTCCTTATAAATGAAAGGTCTGCCAATATCTTTGCAAAATTTTCTTAATAGATGAGAGAAATACCTATTAAAAGTATTCATTTAGAAAAGGTCCCCTTCAGTTTGCTGGCCTGTTTCCCTAAAATGCATTTGAGAAAGCATACTATTACCGACTAAATACAGTGGAACTTCTACTTACGAGTTTAAACCATTCTGTGACCTTGCTCTTATCTCAGTTTGCTCGTTTGTCGAGTCAATTTTCCTCATTTAAATTAATTGAAATGGAATTAATCCGTTCCAGCGGAATTCCAGGCACGACAAAATACTTCAGTATTTCGCTAATATCAACTCTGTGGCTTATTTATCTATCACAATTCATCTAATATGACATAACATAGAAACATGATATATACACTAGAATGAATATGTCATTATGTATGTGAGGAGTGGTAGGTGGCAGCAACGGCCATTGTTCTTGTTGGGGTGTATAGGGCCACCACAGTGGCCATTCCTGCTTCTGACTACATAAATTCCCGTGCTCTTATTATAACAGAAAATGGAGTATTTGTAAGACAAACTGCATTAGATCACTACATGTACATAGTTTCATAAGAAAAACATTAATAATAATAATAATGTAAACAAATTATGTAGTACTACAGCATTTACCTTGGAGATGGAGAAGAGACGCTGGATGCAGCGGTGTATGCTGTCAGGAGTTCATTTTGTTCTGTTGCTTAATTGCTACACTCTTAATGCTACACTTTGTCTCTTAACTGCTACAATTTTTATTTTTATGTTACTTCACTATTCACTGATTTTTGGGTTTTTCTCCACACTTTCATCTGCAGGGAGTTTCAATAAAAAACTGTCCGAAGAGGTTTGTTTCTTCCTCCCTTTCAGAATGTTTCAGAAATGAGTTATGCAAGCGTCATTAAATAGCCCCAACGCACGACCACTTGAAACTTTCTCTGGGTGATACACTCGTAATGCTATGTACACTTAATTCCTAAACTCTTAATGATACACTGTAATGTCCTTTGCTGGCACGATAGCCTTTATAAACTCCTTATGCTTTAGTATTGTACACATTGTAGAAGTGCTATGCTGGTACTGCCTGGCCAGATCCTTAACCCTGGCACCTAGTCTGTGTTTATCAATGATTTCCTGCTTTAAATCCATGGTAATCATCCTCTTTTTCTTCTTGGCACTCTCCTGTGGACTTGCTTTCTTAGGACCCATGGTTAGAAACAAGAAATTTTGCAAAATAACTGCACAAAACGTAAGGAAAACACGAGAATTCCTTTAACCGCAAGGTAAGCTCCGTAACCACACATGGACTGGCTTTGTTTTGATACGTAGTACGTACATATTATTATTATAGTACAGTGGACCCCCGGTATTCGATATTAATCCGTTCCTGAGAGCTCATCGAATACAGATAATATCGAAAACCGAATCAATTTTCCTCATAAGAAATAATGAAAATCAAATTAATCCGTGCAAGACACCCAAAAGTATGAAAAAAAAATTTTTACTACATGAAATATTAAGTTTAATGCAATAGAATAATTACAATAACAATAAAATAATTGACACTTACCTTTAATGAAGATCTGGTGATGATTGATGGGATGGAAGGAGGGGAGAGGTGTTAGTGTTTAGAAGGGGAATCCCCTTCCATTAGGACTTGAGGTAGCAAGTCCTTTTCCAGGGTTACTTCCCTTCTTCTTTTAATGCCACTAGGACCAGCTTGAGAGTCACTGGACCTCTGTCGCACAACAAATCTGTCCATAGAGCTCTGTACCTCCCGTTCCTTTACGATTTGTCTAAAATGGGCCACAACATTTTCATTGTAATAGCTGTGTTTGGGTGATTTTCATCCATAAAGGTTTGCACTTCAACCAACTGTGCACACATTTCCTTAATTTTTGAAGTAGGCACAATGTATTCCACAACTGGTATAGGCTTCTCAGGGTTAGCCC